CGCACAGTCGAAGCGTCCGAGTTGACAAGTCACATCAGACTTCCGTTGTAACGGAGGCCGAACAGTACATGAGCTCGGCAGAAGCAAAGGCCGAAGCGGCAACTCCAGGCCTCGGCTTGTGACCAAACTTCTCGGACCGTGTATCATACGCAAAAACGTACACTATTTACCAAACAGCCGGAGGTGTAACTGCATCCACGACATCAAAATCCTACGCACAGATGACGGGGCCTCAGAAATCTGCCTTCCAAGCACGACCGGAAGGAGGAACGGTTTACCATATCAAGCCAGCCGCACGCCTCGCGGTATGCGACTCATACCGGAATAAGGCGTCGAGACTCTGCAACCTCTCCGCGCTCTGTACCATGGGTCCATGTGGCAGTCTTCTCAAGAACCTTCCAAAGAGTACACTCTGCGCATTCAGAGCAGCACTTGCTGAGAATTGAGCTTCGGTCGCAATGAAAAGAAAATTGACTCTGTCCGGTAAAATCACTCCTCTCTCGTCCTAACCAGAGGCGCGTGCTCTAGGACAGGGAGCAGAGAAGAGATTGCCATCTGGGCCATAGGAGACGGTCACCATTTGTTACCTTTAGCTGTGTCCGGCCCTCGCCAAATGTTTTCAGTAAGGCCCCGCGAGCTTGCAAGTTCGATGTCAACGCCAGAATTCAATACCCTTCTGGCGCTGGCGAGTTCCACGGGCAATTGGATTCAGAACAGTAAAGAGTACGAGGATTTGAAAGAGAGCAACGTGGGTATGATGTCGTCGACTGAAGCTAATCATGTCCTTAGTTGTCAAGCTCAACCTTTCAGGGGCGTTCATGGCTCTGTCACTCCAGAAAGAACTGGTTCCGAAGCGTCAACAATGTGCCAGTTAAGGGCAACACCACCAGCTCTGGCCATGTCAGACCATCTACTCAAGGTCGCCCTGTCATCATGGCTGGCTGCGGGGCACCATTGCAAATCCATAGGAAAAAGTGTTAGCGCGCTGGAAGTAGTCTTTGGTTGTCGTCCTCTACAGCAAGGCTTCTATGATACTCCCCATGTCTACCCGGGACCGCTGCACGCGCATGCCGCCGTTTCATTTCTGGCTTGTTCCACGATAGGTAAGTCATTCCCAGAAATATTGCCCTTCGGCCTCATGCAACAAGTTGCGGTGTAGCTAATTGCTTCCAAAGGTCGCGATGACGTCGGATTTTCGAACGCAAACTTTTCCTTCCTGCGCGTTCCGTGGGGGTACGCTGTCATCACCGTTTCTCCCTCCCGGCCATCGGACATCGAGACACTCGGCTTTCATACCATCAACTGTCCCACAGTAACGAACCGTCGACGGCGCCGCCTGAGCCCTCCCACGGCCGCTGCGCTCGTACCCGCGACCAAATCTGACAAGAAGAAGCAAGCCATCCGGGGTCGTCATTGACTTTCGTCACCGGACACAGATAATTGCAACAGTTTGACTAAAGGGGAATACCCAACCGGCTCGCCCGCGGCCGGCGATGCGAAAGAGGCCCCTGTGTCTGTCCCAGCTGCGGCAGACAGGAGAGTACCGTACATACCCGCCGACCAATCCGAACAAGTGGAACGCCAGAGCTGCAGGTTTGAATATCACAAGACCCCGAAAACCTGCTACGGCATGCTTCAATATCATGCCAGGGAAGAATTGCATTGCATCCAGTCAAAAAGCCTAAACATACGAACCGCCGTTGGGCTGCGAATTGGGGGAACCATTTCCAATGCCATGAAAGAAAAGAGCATGGCAGACACGGCTGGCACGTCGGTTATCGTGGCCCAGTGGTTTCGAGATGTCCAGTCAGCATCATTGGACGCTTGACAGGCCGTCCGATTACTTCTAACGCATGGGGGTCACTCATCCTCTATCATCCGGGTACAACAGTGCAGCTTCATCATGCAAGGACGAGGGAAGCTCCCCGGAAAGAATACCCGAGTCGGGGTCACAATACGACATTTGACATCTCCGCGGGAGAAACCACATGGAAGATGCGATACTGGTCGGTTCGGACGGTTCAAAGGACGTCCACCGCCTTTTTACATCCCACGTCCAGCAAGCCACCGGGATGTGCCGAGCCGTCTCGGCCAGGGAAGTACAACAGGATATATCGACTTTAATAGAAATGGGAAAGTAACGTCATGCGGACGTCAAAGATAAGTTTAAGTACACTACCGTTCTTCGACAAGGGGGGCGTCGTTGGTACATGTCGCGATATTACGTGTTGCTTCCAGACAACCATCGCCATGGGGGAGACTTTCAGAGGTGCTGCGAACCTGGCTCAGGACCTTACATGACAAAATAATCCGTTCTAAGCAACTGGCCGTGTCTGCACAGGTTAAGAAAATATCTTGGCCGTAAGCTGGATCGTTGCCCATCTCAGGTACGGAGTTGACGGCCTGCTTACGTATAGGGTAGGCAAGTGATCTTTTCAACGAAGTACACTAACAACAGAAGATGTGAATTGGACATATCCTTTCGGCTACATACTATCGGATCTTGATCGAGTTCAGCTGTATGCGGAATCCAATCCAAAGAGATGCTTAATTCATTGGTGATATCGTTCACGGTGTTACTTTCGTGAGGTCCGCCGAGAACAGCTGGACGCCGGTCCATCCCGGGCTCCGACTCGGCTCCGACTCAGCTCCGACTGCTGCCCGGATGTGTCGCCGGGCGTCGATATGGAATTTCTCTTAGCATCGGAGATGATGCCATGTAGCGAGCGAAAACGATGGACGAGTGGCAAATATCTTCTGATCTCACCTCACTCACTCACTTTAAGGTGAGTAAGGACGATTGGATGAAACCTTACCGATGACGTCCTGTTGAATCCAGTCAGCCAATTGCGCGTCTTTCGAGAGATCATTAGGCTCAGCATTCTGTGCCGCTGCTTTCTTGTCTCACCTTCAACATTTGTGCGTAAGTCGGTCTCTAAGCCAGAAAAAAGCCAACGCGAGACTCCGAATCTGGATGAAGTTGACAATTGCAGTGCAAAACATATTGCTCTAGGTCTAACCGTTTGTAACACCGAAGGGCCCGATTACCAGCCAGTCCAAGACAGCTACGGGCAAACCCAGCACGGGTCTCAGCCACAGCCACAGACCGAGATGGACTCACCACTACCTCCTCCCTCCCACGGGGCGACACACCCCTGGCGCAACCGAGCGACGGCGGTCCTGTCCGAGCTGGGTCTGATATCCCTCTACCACTGCAAGCCGGACGTCAAGCTCCTCTGCGCCCAGCGCTTCGTGCGCCTCTTCGCCTACGGCTCGTCGACGCTCGTGCTCGTCTCCTACCTCGAGGCCCTGGGAATCTCAAAGACGCGCATCGGCCTGTTCATGACCCTCACCCTCGCCGGCGACGTCTGCATCAGCTTCTTCCTCACGCTCTTCGCCGACGGCATCGGCCGCAAGGCCGTCCTGGCCATGGGCGCCGTCATGATGGTCTGCAGCGGCGTTGTTTTCGCGCTGTCTGAGAACTACTATGTGCTGCTTGCTGCTGCCATCTTCGGGGTTATTAGTCCTAGGTTAGTCATGAGAGTACGAAATGACTTGGGTGTGGTGTCTTCTAACACATAAACAGCGGCAATGAGATCGGACCGTTCCGCGCCATAGAAGAGAGTGTCGTGGCGCACCTCACGGCATCCTCAAACCGCAGCGACATCTACGCCTGGTACAACCTCATTGCCACAGCCGGTGTGGCATTCGGCATGATCACCTGCGGCTGGACCGTCAACCACCTCAGCAAAGACCTAGGCTGGCCCATCGTCGAAGCCTACCGCATCGTCTTCATGGGCTACGCCGTGATGGGCGCTCTCAAACTCGCCATCATCCTCTTCCTAAGCAAGCAAGTCGAGGCCGACCCGCCCTCGCAACAACAACCTACACCCTCATCCGTCGAACCGAACCTAGAAACCACACCCCTCCTCGGCGGCGACGCCTCCTCTTCCCCGGTGGTTGTTGTTCCCAACCCCCCCGCTCCTCCCGAGAAACGCCGCCGCGGCCTCGCCTCCCTCCTCCCGCAAATCAGCCACGAGAGCCGCGGCATAATGGTCTCCCTCAGCCTCCTCTTCGCGCTCGACTCCTTCGCCTCGGGGCTCGCCCCGCTGAGCTGGGTGACGTACTTCTTCCGCTCGCGCTACCACCTGTCCGAGGGCGCCCTGGGGACCGTCTTCTTCGCCACCTCCCTCGTGGCGGCGGCCAGCATGCTCGTCGCCTCGAGCCTCGCCAAGCGGTTCGGCAACGTCAACACCATGGTTTTCACGCATTTACCGTCGGCTGTGTTTCTTGCGCTTATCCCAATACCCAACGACGTGCACTTTTCGCTCCTGTTCCTGATACTGAGGTCCTGTACGCAGAGCATGGACGGCCCGCCGAGGTCGGCTTTCCTGGCTGCCATTGTCCTGCCGGGGGAGAGGACGGCGATCATGGGGCTCGTGAACGTGGTCAAGAGCACGGCGCAGAGTCTCAGTCCTACGCTCACCGGGCTGCTGGCGGATAGGAAGTTGTTCTGGGTCGCGTTCGTGTGCGCCGGTGCGCTGAAGGCGATGTATGACCTTGGCATGCTGGCGTTGTTCAAGAACCACGAGCGGGAGAGGGCCGAGAGGGAAAGGTTGGCGGCTGAGAGGAGGGTGGTAGTGGGTGACGAAGGACGTCACCTAGACGACTAGTAGTCGACCACATGGGAGGAGCAAAGAGCACGAGTCAAGTAGGCCGCAATCTCAACGTGCATAACCCGCGTCAAACGCTCTCAACAGCACGTACGACCACAGATGCCGGAGAACTCGGGATCCCGTCCGCTCTCCCAAATCGATAAGCCGGCAATCGTCAGATTAGTACTCGGGTGGGTGACCACCGGGGAATCCCTGATGTTGTACGTTCCTCCTCCCTCCTTTTTTGTTCCTTGCTGCTCCTCTTTTACGGTTCAGTCTTGCAGAGGACGAGTCATTAACATCAGGGAATAGCAGCACCCGACTCCATCGAATCATGGCATTCATTTCTCCTTAGCTCAGTTGGCCAGAGCGTTCGACTGTTACATCTTACTCACAACCCTCCGAAGGGGGGAGAGGGGATCGACATCGAGAGGTCGGCAGTTCGAGCCTGCCAGGGGAAGCATTCTTCTTTCGTTTGCGACTCGCAGATGGTGGCGTTTTGCTGGTTGAGGTTGGGGGATGGAGATGGCGGGTACATGTGGTGCGTGTGGCAGGAGGAGTTCCTTTTTGCCAACTACCACTTGCCGTCCACTAGGTACTCCGTCTTGTTTATGTCATCGACGGGCATTTGGGCGGTGTCAATGATGGCAAAGTGGACGGACGTCCCGGCATCGATGGTCCGCTAAGGATGTCATGGAACCTCGGTACTGCGAGGAGGGTCATCTGGTCGCAGACTTGTAACACCTGTGTAGGGGAAACTGTGATTACCTCAAACTTCGCGACATACCCTCCATGGGATAAGCAAACGCTAAATAAGAAGATGATAACTGAAGTGGCCAGTCCCCCTTTTAGTTTGTGAAGCTCGAAATGTCGATTAAGGGTTCGGTGGAGACTTCCCGACATAACGTACCCATTTGATATCACCTTCACCGCCTTCGCCACAAATAGAGCACCGACATATATGAACGCTAATACCGAGCAACATCTTCAACAATAACAGCTGGTTTCGTGGTGTAGCTGGTTATCACGTCAGTCTAACACACTGAAGGTCCCCGGTTCGAGCCCGGGCGAAATCACAATTCTTTTCTGCGACATGAGCTTCGGTTCATGCGCGGTAACATTTTGCAATTTTCATTTTCACGTCGGTGTTGATTTGCATTTCCTACCTTACATAGGTGTGTCTGGTACATGCCACTTTTGTTTCTACCCGGAGCGGCCTCCGTCGCCATCGTTACGACTGCCCACCTGGTCATCAACATGTCATGAAGCAGACGCGCAGCTTTCACGTATCCGTGTTGACTCTTGAGTTGTGACAGTTTGAGTCTACTTTTGAAAGTGATGTTGTTGCAGGGCTGGGCATGCAGCCGCCACACGGCGTACTACTACGTGTACACCAAAAGCCGCCAAGTGCAGGTGGAAAGAAATATGTACATCGAAGGAAACTTGAACTGCCACCAAGGCTACTTGTACCATGAAACCCCCTGTGGCCGACTTGACACTGCACGCGACGAATCCGAGCATAGGCCCGCAGGCCCGACGTGGTGCCCGCTGAAAGTTCCAAGGAACCAACCGACTCCAGGTCTGACGCTCCTGCGCGAGAGATATATCCTCGCGGCTCCGCTCTGGTATTGTCGAACCGAAAGCGCCGACCATCCGAACTACCGCCACCGACCGTTTCTGACCGTACACACCCCATCACACCCTGCTCTTCACGCAGGACACCCTCATGTCATCCCATCCCGGCATTCTGCGCCATCCGCCCCAGCGGCGTCCGATCCCGCGGCTTCTCGACCATGTCCGCGTACCCCTCGAGCCCCGCACCCATAATGCGGATGACCTCGAAGATGTGCGTGCCCTTGAACGTCTCGGCCCACAGCCGTATCACGGCGGCGGCCAGCTGGCGCAGCTTGATCGCGTCCGTGCCGCCGGACATGTCCATGGACCGGTGTTGCTGGTGGTGGTGGTGTTGCGGGTGGTGGCCGCCGCTGGGACCGGATAGTGAAGGGTCGATGGGCACGGCGAACTCGGTCTCGTCGAGCATGCGCCGCACCATCTCGAGGAAGTTCTTCTCTTCCGCTGTGGCGGGCGGTTCGTTAGGCCCGATGGAGGCGAGGGTTATGAGCCATTTTGATAGGACGACCGCACATTCGAGGTTGCATACTAGGTTGCAGTTAGTGTCGATCAAACACGGGTGGAGGAGAGTTCCAAAATGGTCTTCGTCGGGCGGCTGAAAAGCATGGGGGGAAATGCGGTTATACTCACGGGAATGCTGCATGCTCCATTCTAGGGATTTCGTCCTCGCGACGTAGTTCACACCCATCTTCACCAACATCGAAAGAGCATGGATGGCCTGCACGACTGCTCGATGAAGGCGAGGACTCCGCACGAGCACAGGAGCCTGGCTGAAGGACTGCGCGATCAAGACATGGTCGCGCGTCTCGAGGCCTCGACTGGGATTGAGATCGGTGTACAGACGCATGTACGCCAATCGCAACAGAGCGGTCGAGTTGAAGGCAACCGGTCCTCCGGAGAACGGGTCAACGCCAATCATCTGCTGTCCGGTTTCGCTGGCCCGGAGCTGGCGGTGCTGCTCGAATCCAATCGTCCACACGCGAAGTGCCTGGCTAACTTCTTCAACATCCTCCGGCTTCAGCCCGCGATGGACGTCAAAGGGCGAGAGACTTGCGAACGACGTCTGCTTGAGGAGGTAGATGTGCTGAATCAGCGCGTGAATGAGCACATAGTTACCCAACGACGACACGGGAGACGGCGGCCCCTGGGATGGTCGGTTGAGAAGCCTCGAGAAAGCATCCTGGAGTGGTATCTCGGCCGTGGGATACGACTGCCGAGCCTCCTGCCATTGCCAGGCTGTCTCCGCTCTCCATAGCCTGGATGGGTTCGGCAAGTACAGGTTCACCTCGGACGTCAATAGTAGAGGCGGCGTGTTATAGGCGATGCTGCACAGGTTGAAGAAGCAGTAGGCAATGAGCTTCGTCCGAGTGCTCGCCTCCAGCCGGATCCAAGTCTCCCAGTCCATCGCTTGGTTGGGTTCCGCATGGAGGCCCTCCTCCCGAACCAGAAGAGCAAGTAAGCTCTGGATGGAGAATGCTTCGTGGAGAATTGCTTTGGCGCCCCAGAGCCCGACGGCAAAGAGGAGCAGAAGAGCTTGGATTGTTTCTAACCGCGACTGTGGCGTGTTGGGCGAGCTGTTGAGGTCAGCACAGGTTTAATGAAAGATTCCGTGACGCGCTTCCAACTTACTATGGCTCCCGATGTGTATCTTGCGTCATCGGACGTTCTTGCATAGCCGATGGGAACGAGTGCCGGAAGCCTGAGCTGGGGGACGGGCGCGTAGAGTGAGGGCTGTACGCCGCTGGAGTCGGGAGCAGACCGTGCACTTCATGGCTGTGTCTCCTTCTAATCTGCTCCAAGGCGACCGCTTTGGCTGCATACCATAATGCATGGCCGCGGTTCGTTTCGAACCGGTATTGGGCGCCAACAGCAAGAATTGCCAATAGCAATTCCGGCGACAGCTCCGTTGGAGCCAGGGTCGGGATGTGAAGGAACGGGAGGTGCTCGTGGAAACCGCTGATGTAGCCTTCCAAGAATCTCGTCAAAGTGTGTCTCGATGGGAAGACGAAGTCGTTTGGAAGTACGGACGAAAACTCATCGAGTCTGTTCCTGATGACGGTATGGTCCATGGTCGATATCCTCCAGGCCGGGGCTCTCATGCCCTCTTCATGCATCCTGGATGTTCCATCCGCGCCATCTCTCGGGTCTGGTTGAAGCGAGGGAAACCTCGACGGGAAGGCTGACGACGGCTTCGACGGCCCTCTTTGACCAAGCTCTACGCCGGAGCGCGGCCACATGGGGAACGACTGCTCGGCTTCAAGTCCGGGTGGCAGGAAGTGGGATGACGTCGCATAGTCGTCGAGGAACAGGTTGAAGTCATCGTTGTACGCCGGAGGTGGCTGCGCCGGGAACCCGCCTGGCATAACACCTGGGTCTTGTTCTCGTCCGCGATCCCCGTACTGCATCCCCTCGTCGTACTGCTGTTTGACGCGTGTGAGGTCGGGTGGTGGCGGCGCCAAGCCCGGCATCATGTTTTGTTGCATGGAACTGACCTCGCCGCCCGACGCCAGGTGAGTGGCCGCATCCGATAAGAGATCCAGGTTGCAAGCAGGTGCTCGTGCAGCTAGTCGTGGATCCGGAGCGTGGGATGCCGCTACTGCGGAGGCCATGCTCTCGGGGTGATATTGTGGCGGGGGTGGCGGCCGCTGCTGTTGCATGCCGAGCATCTCGGTGTCGACATGACTGCTATCGGAGGCACCGGTAACGGCGCCGGCCGAAGACGGCTTCCGAGGCCGGCCACCGTCCTTATTCCCTTCATTGAGATGGACGAGCTTTTCGTGGCGGACAAGAAGGTCACTGATGTCCATATAAGCATATTTCTTGGGCGGCAGCTAAAGGAAGGGTCGGATGCGAGTGAAATACGAAAGTGTCCAAGAGGGAATGTGGGAGATGCTAGGGGTTTAGAGGGCAGAATCCGGTTGGGCAAGTACAGACTGGATAGTGACAGCACGGGAACGGGAAGCGGGAAAGGTGCATGGTGAGTGGTGGAAGCACGGTAAGGCGCCAAAAGGCGAGCAATCACACTGGGGGTTGAACAAGGAACAGGGCTAACTGACCGTCGTCCAAACGTTTTCCCACAGCGAGCCCAGCCACAAGAAAAGGGCTTCTCTTTGGTGTGAGTTCTCTCGTGCCTCTGTACATGTTCCACACGCCTAATATGGAAGCCCAATGTAAGCTAATATGTAATAGCGGAGGAAGGCGGAAGGTCTTGGTTCACTCACCTGAATCGTTTGGTGCAGTACTTGCACGGCAAAGTCTTGGGCTTCTGCTGCCGCGTCTCCCCATTCTCGTCGGCTGTATGGGGAGCCTGTGCCTCGATCGACTGTTGGAGGCTCATCATGGTGAGGAGAGGCAAGAAGAACCTGGGCGGTTTGTTGGGGTATGGTAATGAGATAATGTGGATGAAAGTACGCACTTCGCGAGGAGTGGGGGAAAGAGGAGGAGGTGGGAGGACACCAGTCGACTCAGGAAGAAGGCCGCCGAGGAGTGGTTTGTGGGGTGTAATGGCGTGGAACGATGTTTGAATTTGGAGACACGACAAACATGCTCGTCGTGTTATATCCAACCGCGGAGCGAAAGAAGCCTTGCCCCAGGCTTGAAGACCAATGCGTTACCCCTCGTTTATCTGACGTCGGTCCTTGCCAGGGTTCCTCGGCCACAAACCTAGTGGGACTGACGACTCGGACTGACAGCCCTGGATCGGCTCAAAACGAGGGAAAGAGGAGGCCCCTTGCTCACGACCACTCGTGGTGACCTCAAACGTACCACGGCGACTGGGAGAGTCCTGTGGCTGCAGGAGAGAGACCCTTTGGTAAGTGGCGGTAGCAGC